TTTTATATGTTTTTTTTTTCTTTCTTTTGACTAACGATCCTTCTTGCAGTGCGAGTTTTACGTATTTCCGGTCGCCGCAACTACTTTGCCGTTAGATCTGGCTTGATTATTGATTCTTAGCAATATTTACATTATTTTCTAACTTGTACGAAACATCAGTTTCGCTATAAATGAGAATATGTGAGGTGCAGTTCGTTTTTGAAAAGGATGCCTTTCAGGATAGACTATGGGAAAGTCGCGATAAGGTGTGGAGCGCGGTGGAAGCCGGCGCTCATATCTATGTTTGCGGGTGAGTCCATAATCATCTTTGTCTTGGACCACATTCACGGGTGCCCGACAGGAGGCCCGTCGCGCCTCAAAAAGGCAGAGTCAGTGGACGAGTCGCAGCGCGTACTGTAGTGATTTCGCGTCAAGTTAATAGATGTACTATAGCTCCAACAGTTACTGCCTTAGTGTATTACAGTTACACTAATGCTACAAGAGCAGTATCTTATACACCGATACATTCAATGTAGGATCAGTGTTTTTATAATCCCGCATGAAGGGCTGGGAGGCCTAGCGCTAGCCTGATGTACGTCCTACATCGCACATCACGCGCTGCGACTCGTCCGCTGACTTTGCCTTCTTGCCGCGCGACGGGCCTCTTGTCAGGTACCCCGCATTCACACAATCACATTCGAGCTATTAGGGAACTGGGCGGTAGCGGCTTAGGAGATCAAGAGGTTGAGCGATTCTTATTGATTAGGAAATCAGCTATATTGAGTGATATCAATGGTCTTATCTTTTGAGCAGAATCTCTTAACTTCTGATCTCCAAAGCTCCCATTCTTTCTATAAATACACATCTTTTCACTATCGCCTGATCTCCTAGTCTCTGAAGTCGTTTAGTGTGAACGCATCTTCAGTGATCAATCTGACCGATCGGTCGCGTTCTCAATTCAATCAATCAATCAATTTCAGATGATTAATTATTGATTTCCCTTTATTTTAGTGACGCACGTAATATGGCGCGTGATGTGCAAAATACATTGATGCGTATATTCCAAGAGACAGGAGGCAAAAACGAGGATGAAGCGGTTATTCTGTTCAAAAATCTGGAGCGACAGCGAAGATATCAAGCTGATGCTCCGGTCCAACTAAGTCCCGTGTTTGCGCCTCCCCCCCCCCGGGGGTGGCGGGGCCTACGGTGGCCTTGGTGTATTCAAAGGCTGAGATAACCGTACGCGCTGATTGCAGCTTATTTGCGCATATGTTAGCGAAATTACGTTTGCTTACTCCCTCCCTGGTTCACTTGCGGCTGTCGCTTTCTTGTGCTAGTTATCCGAAGAATTCTTTAGGCTGAGACTCTACGAATCGAGCGATTCGCTAGTAGCAATTCGTTGGTGTCCGCGGTCGCGTCGCGGCCGGCCAATCGCTCGATTCGCAAAGTCTGACATCGGTCTTAGGCTTGTTAACTTTCCACATACGGCTTTTCTATCGTTGTGTTGACTGTCTCATAAGTCACGCATGGCCTCTGATTGATCGACACCGGTTTTTGGCTCATTTGAGCTCTACCTTTCATTCTTCTATTTTTCTATGGTTGTTCTCTTCAAAATTTAAGCATATGCATATTTTTGTCTCCAGAGTTTTGGATAGATTTTATTGATTTTTATATGTCTCATTATTGATTGTTTTGCCTCGGGGTAGTCTGACCTCAATAGGCGTTCATTTTTTAGATCACAGTCGTATATGCATTTATCTGTATCAGTTTTGACTGTTCCACTATTATGTCAGTTGTCGCCGTCAGAGACGCATAGTGGGAATGACATGAAGTTGGAAACGTTCCAACTTTAATCGATTATCAATCGATTATAGTACAGACTGTTCTTGCGGGTGATCTTCCTTTAGTTCGATAATTATGTTTTTTTTTGTTACTGTTCACTTCACAAGTAATAGTTCGACTTTGGATTTGATGTAGGAAGGCAGAGACGCAGAGTATGAGTTGTACGAGTTGTCGTGACGGAATATTACTCCTCGTCTCTCTTTCACCACTTGGATATACATTCTGATTGTTTGACATGATACAGTGCAGATAATAATGTTTCCGTAGTTATGTACTTTTGCAATATTTTCTGGTCTGTGCCAAATGGACAATTTTTTAATAGATTTTTTTCAGAGATTGATCTAGAGAATACTTGAATAAATCTATCCTCTGATATTTACTTTACTAAATGTGGATTTGCCAGAGAGATTTGTTAGCATAAAGGTAATCAGCAGGCATACTCCTGAGAAGCTCAGGAATGGCTGTTTGAAAATTTTATGCCAATTATTGTCGAGCTCACTGCCGAACTTGCAGTGGTTCATTTCTTCCTTAAAGGCACAGTCCGCGATGATGGACGCTGTCATTTAGGAACAAAGTTGCACCGCGAGCTAAAATAGCTGATCTTGAATGGTCGTAATGCGAAGTGCTCATCTACTGGGAAAGCAAGTAATTTGTACAACCACTGACTTGAACATTTGTGACGTAAGTGTGTACCCATAAAGGAATACGTTCTCAGAGCGTCGTAGTGATGAGCGGTCTTGCCTATTACTGTGGACGGGTCAGAAAATGAGAACAGGAGTAAGAATTGTATCTTCGCACAGGGCAATTCCCACTCGGGGAACCCGAAGAGTACTGCTGTTTCCGGATCATTGGCTGCAGGATCATGACAGTTTCTAGTGCCAGCCAGCTCATCACAGGGCGTGTCGACATTCTGCCATGGTACTGCCCTCAGTGAGGTTCTTTGAAAAAGATCCTGGCCTCTCATGAAAAATCTTGTTGGTAGATATGTCAAAATTGCCTGCCAAGGTTCGATGTGTTCTGTTGGAGCGTGAATTAAGGTGGAATGGCTCAGCACAAGGAAAGTGCTCGAGGACGACCGAGACCGGACGTTTTGCTCCCAGTGTCTGTGATGATCATCAACTGATATTGAAAGGCCGATGAGTGTAGTACGAAGTTATACGATTTTATTGTGGTGAGGTGCCTATACACAAAGCCTACCTAAGCCGTAGATCAAAGTCGAAAATGTTGCAGAAAATGTAAACTTGAAGTGTTTGTGTTGCGGCGCGGGAACTATGACCGGTTCATGTTTGTCGCGGTATCATTCCGCGATATCGCTGTATGAACAAATAGACCGGAATTCATTGAGTAAGGCAGCGTTCAGAGTTGGCGATCGTGCGATTAGGCGATTAAGCGATTGGACTAGAAGGAAAGGGATATGTATCGATTAGGCGAGCAGGCGATGGCTAAATAGGTAGGGTAACGAATCAACTCGTATCCCTCTCTTACCGCCTGCTCGCCTACTTGCCTAATCGGCTAAACCTTTCCGTACACTTTCTTTTGAAATCATCGTCTAATCGCCTAATCGCATGTGCGATCACCAACTCTGAACGCTGCCTAATGTTGCTTTCAAGTAAATTAAAAGCTATTAGCACTTGACGCCAAGGGACGTTAATGGATTCACTGTTTTTAAAAAGGGAATCAAATTCGTTTCTATCGGAAATGGTGGACCGGCAGACAATGAACCCTTTTGAGACTAAATACATAGAACTTCGACCTGGACGTCATTCAGACAAAGCCTTCTGCCCTTGCAAGCCCGAGCAGGGTCCACCACCAAGTGGTGTAAGTTCTTTAGGGAGCACTATCCACAGTCTAAATAGGCGGAACTCTAAGGGCTCCGACACATTCTACAGAGATCTTCTACAGCGGAGAAAGAAGGGAGCTGTAAGGGACCGCGAAATTTGACCTACGCAGGTGTTGGCCCTACGGTGCTTGCGCACCATTTTCCTCATCAGACTTTTAGAAGTGTTGTAGTGGCAAAAAGCGTTTTTTGCAAGTCGAATCCTGAGAGAGCGCGGAAGCTTTCCTACTTTATTGCCCTTCATGGTCGCCAATGGATCAAAAGAGGATAAATATGGAACGGTACAAAGGTGGGAGGACGAAACGCTGGCTTTCATATCGACTGATTGTGTGGGAGGGGGGGGGTGGTAAAAATCACTTATCTCTGGTCATTCTCAACACTGAATCAGTCGGACTTAGCTAAACTTTTTTCGGATGTTGGCACCTGATTATTAAATAACTACTCTGATTCACGCTCAAAGGTAAGGTCCGAGATTTCTGGTCGAAATTGATGAAATGCGGTGTTAGCAAGAAGGAAGTATGAACACAGCTTTCGGGATAATTCGACAAGGCCGAGGCGCTAAGGCCCTCGGGGGCAAAATTGACCCCACCCAACACAATTGAGCCCGCCCCGAATCAGTGCTAATTCGCTTCGCCGCTACTAGAGACGGGGCTTTTTCTCGTCCTTGTCGACTGTTTCTCTCAATATCTCCATTACAGGC